TCATGTCCCTGATGTTCCTCTGGTTTCCCTTTCCGTTCGTCTCATTTTCCTTCTCATCTTCCTTTCATGTCCCTTTCATTTTACTCTCTTGTCACTTCAGTTTCCTTCCCTTTTTCCTTCAAGTCATTCCATTTTTCTTGTATGTCCTGTCATTTTTCAAAATCATATCGAATTCCGTGCATATTCGTTTCAAATTATGTTCATGGTCCTTGGTTCTTTTCATGATCTTCCTTGCTCGTTTATGCATCGGGGTGCCAATTCATAATGTGATAATGTGCAGCAGTTTTAAAGCGGTCTAGCTTTTGTGCATAGGGCCTCATGCTTTAAAATGCACAAAAACAATGAGAACTGGTTCTGCCATAAAATGTTGTTCCAGCAAATTCACGCCGAATTGGCATCCAAGTTCATCTAAATTCGAAGACCTTCAGAAATGCCTCTTTAAAAAGGGGTCAGGAAATTCTGTGTAGATAGAGGTATTTTAGAGTGAAGGTGCTCAAATATTTAATGGTTTTCTTCTGTTTATAGCATTCTGTAGCAACAAAATACGGTGGCATTCTTTCGTAGCAATTCCTTAAAATTCCTTTAAATTCCTTAAAAATCCAAAAAACTCATGAAAATTCCTTAAAAATCATTTAACATCATTAAAACCCGTAAAACTCTTTCAAATTCCGTCAGATTCCTTTTAGACTCTTTAAAATTCCTTAAACTTCCTTGAAATTCCTCTAAGATTCTTGAAAATTCCTTAAACTTCATTGAAATTCCTTTAAGATTCCTGAAGATTCCTTTAAGATTCCTTAAAATTCATTTAAATTCCAAAAAATCCTTAAAATTCCTTAACATGATGACTTGTGCATAGTCTAAGCGAGATCCGTAATGTATTGGAATTTCAAAATTGGAGTCAGGTTAGTCATTTTATTGTTAAGATTGTTAAGGGGTTGGTCTGAGCATTTTATTGGCCAGGGAAATCCTGATGATTTTTAACATGTTAAAATTCCATTCTAATTTTATTGCAACAAATTGAGTGTTTGGAGCATTTTATTGCAGAATGGAACCAGTGCTTTTCGAGGATCTCTTGATATCAATTTTATTGGGCATGTCATTTTAGATGTGCGAATTTGAAGGAATTTGAAGGAATCCTAAGGAATTTTAAGGAATGTTGGGGAAATTTAAAGGAATTTGAAAGGAATTATAAGGAAATTCAAGGAATTTAGGGAGTTTTAAGGACTTTGAAGGAATCTTAGAGGAAGTTGAAGGAATTTTAAAGGAATTTGACGGAATTTGAAGGAATTTGAAAGATTTTCAAGGATTTCGAATGATTCTAAAGGCATTGGAAATTGCCACGGGGATGTTTATGTGTCTTTTCAATTCTTTATTTCTTCCGATGTTCTGCTATCTTCCTTTCATTTTACGTTACTTTATTTGTGTTTATTTCATGTCCTTCCACTTTCCTTTCATCATGCGCGTTACTTCCATGTCCTTCCATTATCTGTTCATATCCTTTCATTGTCCCTGCATGCCATGTCCAAATCCTCACAGATAGAATATTCGGAATGCATGACCTGGGCCACCATGGTGGTCACAATTTATATGTGTGAATATTGAAAAAAAACACATATACACTCATACAAAAGCATTTTCTTTCGTGTTCACATTCCTTTCATGCCTTTCATTCTCCTGTCAGTTTCCTGCCAGTTTCCTTTCGCTTCCTTCCATGTTCCTTCTATTTCCGTCAATCATATCTTTGTTTTACGTTCACCTTATTTAATTTCCCTCCTTTCCTTTTGTTCTTTCATGTCCTTCTGATGTTCCTCTGGTTTCCCTTTCCGTTCGTCTCATTTTCCTTCTCATCTTCCTTTCATGTCCCTTTCATTTTACTCTCTTGTCACTTCAGTTTCCTTCCCTTTTTCCTTCAAGTCATTCCATTTTTCTTGTATGTCCTGTCATTTTTCAAAATCGAATTTCCGTGCATATTCGTTTCAAATTATGTTCATGGTCCTTGGTTCTTTTCATGATCTTCCTTGCTCGTTTATGCATCGGGGTGCCAATTCATTATGTGATAATGTGCAGCAGTTTTAAAGCGGTCTAGCTTTTGTGCATAGGGCCTCATGCTTTAAAATGCACAAAAACAATGAGAACTGGTTCTGCCATAAAATGTTGTTCCAGCAAATTCACGCCGAATTGGCATCCAAGTTCATCCAAATTCGAAGACCTTCAGAAATGCCTCTTTAAAAAGGGGTCAGGAAATTCTGTGTAGATAGAGGTATTTTAGAGTGAAGGTGCTCAAACTATTTAATGGTTTTCTTCTGTTTATAGCATTCTGTAGCAACAAAATACGGTGGCATTCTTTCGTAGCAATTCCTTAAAATTCCTTAAAAATTCCTTAAAATTCCTTAAAAATCCAAAAAACTCATGAAAATTCCTTAAAAATCATTTAACATCATTAAAACCCGTAAAAATCTTTCAAATTCCGTCAGATTCCTTTAAGATTCTTTAAAATTCCTTAAACTTCCTTGAAATTCCCCTAAGATTCCTGAAAATTCCTTAAACTTCCTTGAAATTCCTTTAAGATTCCTTAAAATTCCTTTAAGATTCCTTAAAATTCCTTTAAGATTCCTTAAAATTCATTTAAATTCCAAAAAAAACCTTAAAATTCCTTAACATCCTTTAGAATCATTCGAAATCCTTGAAAATCTTTCAAATTCCTTCAAATTCCGTCAAATTCCTTTAAAATTCCTTCAACTTCCTCTAAGATTCCTTCAAAGTCCTTAAGACTCCCTAAATTCCTTGAATTTCCTTGTAATTCCTTTCAAATTCCTTTAAATTTCCCCAACATTCCTTTAAGATATGGTTGACGGAAACGTTTCGATTTTGTTCTAAAATGACAGGACATAAAAATCAAAGGCACATGAAATGAGCATGAAAGGAAGTGAAAGGTACATGAAAGGAGCATAGATACAAGGAAATAGAAAAACATTTGGAACCATAGGCTGGGAACATGAAAGGAAAACAGAAGGACAATGAAAGGAACTGAAAGCAATCATCCTTTTGCTGATGTTACAGTTGCTACGTTGTCAACCTCACTTTACATAGGTATGGTGCAATATTCATGACATATTTGTACCCTCAGTGGAAGCACTTTACATAGGCATTGTGGCTATTTATGGCTATCTATACCCACTTTTTTGAAGCATTTTACATAGGTACGGCTTGTTGTTTTACCGGGTCCGTGGAATATTCTATCTGTCTATAGCTATCTTAAGTTAAGCAATTTTTTTTTAAGGTTTGAACTAAACCTATTTTTCCAACTTTTTTTTGATGTGATTTAGTTCAAATCACCTAGTAAAATGCAAGTTTTTGGATGATTTTCTCCGGTATCTTTTGAATATTCTATCTGTGAAAGCATTCTATCTGCTAGAAATGCGTTTAGTTCAAGCAAAAAAAATATTTTTTTGAACTAAAATATTCTATCTGGTAGAAATTGACTATAGAGCAAACCTCGCCTTCAAAAGCTTTCTTGTGATTATTCACCGGGCAAGCATGAGCATAGGCCGCCGGTGCACGACGGTGTCTTCCCCGCTGTCATATCGAGACCCTTTTCACAAGCCAGTTTCATAGTCAGTTAACAAGACCCTTCCCAAAAGCGCCAAATCGTCCACGATGATCCCAACGTGAAGCAAGCCTCCGGGATTGCATCGTGGAGGGAAAACATCTCTGAAACGGCGGCAACACCTGTGCGCAGCATCAAACTGATATGGGAGCGTCGAACATACTCAACTGCACAGGTGTCGCCAATTGCCAGGAGGGATAGGCCAATTGCTACCCTATCAGAAGGCCGGAAACACCACTGCCAAGCACATACCGGCCTCTTCCAGCGAAGGATCACCGCAGAGCACGTTCGTGCAGACATGCTCACCATTGACCGCAACCCGGTAAAAATAGTCCTTCAGATCGTCACCACCAAAAACCATGACTTCCTCCGGCGAAATGTACAAGCCCCTCAAAGAGGCTGCACTAGCCATCGACTTCCACCACTTAGTCTGCCTACGGTCGGCAAGGTTGGCGGGCCTGCTGTCCAGGACCATTCGATCCCTCAGCCCATATTTTGGCACCACAAAGAGGCCATGTCTGTAGTTGCTCATTAGCTGCCTTCAAGGACAGGCTTCAGCTATCCAGACTCTGCCATCTTCTTGAAAAGGTTAAACTTCTCGTTGGGTGAAGCACAAACTTGAACCAGCGGAGGGACTGAAAGGCTATCGCAGTCACGGCCCTTCGACAACGGATGCTTGCAGAGCTCAGGGGCGCTGTCGTCGAAAAGGGGCGAGGGGTCAAAAGTGGGGCGCAAAGGGAAGGACAAGCGGTCAGCCACCAGAGGCTTCGCATTGGGCTCCGCAACACACGGAGAGCGCCCCACGGCCACCCGCACTTCATGACACCTTCATCACAAACTCCATCAAGAAAAGCACAAAGCCCTGCGGAGCCATAGCAAGGCGAAGAAACATGCAAAGAATAAATTGCCCTCGACATGGTAGCAAGGCTCCCTTCGAACCCCTCTAGCTTGATCGCGGCTGCCATCAACCCCAAGATGCTCCAAATTTCTAACTGCTGACCACTGCCGTGAAGTCAATGATGCTCCCAGCCGCAGAGATATCAGTGCTGCTTCCGGACAACCCAAAGCAAGCCAGCTGAGCACCACCACCTGAAGCGAAACCAGCTGCTTTCAATGAGAACGCCCATCCAAAACTCCGCCGGCGGAGAAGACTTCAGGGTAAGGAACAGGCATAGGCCAGGTAGAGCTTGAGGTCAACGTGGAACCAATACGGTCCTTGGGCATAGCGAGGATGGAAAGCAAAAAAAACCTTGGAGGCCGCAATGTTGTTCTTAGCAGCCGCCTTGGCAACGAATTAAACAGGGCCTGGGCCCCTATGGTGGAAGCTCCGGAACCAAGGGCTTTGTACTAGATGCCACATCATCGGAGCGTCCCACCTCCCGTTCATGCAAGTTCAGCTCTCGCCGCTGCCGAGGGCAGGTGCCTTCGGCTTTGGCTTTGGTTTGGCTCTTCTCCGGGTTTCGCCTTCGGCGCCCTCTTCTCCCATGCCGTCCTTCGGCTTCACGGTGCCGGGGCGACCCAGTGCTCGTCTCTTGCTGAGGTAATCCTCGGTGTCTTTGAGGTGAGTCATGGCAAGCTCTGCCCAGCGTGGATCGAGCAACTTTGAAAAGGGGCTTTCGCCATCGTGAATAGCAGGAGCCCGATGCTGGGAAAAGGAAGAGAACGGTGGGGGCGGTTCTAATGCCAGCTCGCCTGCTAGTGTCCAGCTCCCTTTGTCAATGCTGGCCTGATCCAGCATGAGCAGCAAAACACATGCCCTCGCCCTCGCCTTCGCCACATTGCCAGAAATCAAGCTGTCCAATATTCCTGCAACACTCCACGATGAGTAAACACTGGTCCTATAGTTGCTCACCTTTGAGCGGAACTCCACCCAAGCCCTCGCATTCAGCCCCTTTGCTGCCATGCCCGGCCCCAAGGTCAGGCAGTTCAGATCTTCGAACATCTGGCGCTCGATCAAGTTGGAGATCTCGTGAGGCTGATCGTCGTAGGCGGCCATCAAGGCTCTTCTAGCCGCGGCCGCTTTCTTGCCCGCCCCGGTGAGGGGAGCATCGCTGGATGAGGCATAGGTGCCATCCAGGGCGGCATCCAGCCTCGAAGCCGCCTGTTTCTTCTTCCTGTCCTCTGCCAGGATCTCCACAATCGCCGCCAGCTTGTCGAGGGTCGATGACACTGGGTCCCGAGGCTCTGCAAATCCAGCAGCGTCAGGGTCCGGCATATCCTCCCCGGCAGTTGGCTCGTCTTCAGACAAAGGATCCGGCTGGACCTTGGAGTTGAGGTCCTTCATCTGGGCCCCAGGTTTTCCTCGCATCATCAAGTGCTGCATCTGCTCCAAGCTCGACCTCGGAATGCCTGCTTGTAGTGCGGCTTGCGTCACGCCCCCATCCAAAAGAGGGAACTGACCACGAAGGTCTCCCGGGCTTGTAGTCCCACCAGCAGCTTTTTCCTTCGCCTTCAAAGGAGCAGAAGCTTTCCCTTTGGCTTTGCACTTTGGTCCAGCGGCTGAAGCTTTGGGCTTCACCATCTGCTTTAGCTGAGAGGAGATGTCGACCATGGTCTCTTCCAACCGCTGAAGCCGCTTTGCAGTAGGGGAACCAGCATCTGCCAGTTCTTCTTCATCCTCTAAGCCGGCTGCCATCTGCTCAGAAGCCGTCAAAGGGGCCCCATCCGTGCCATCTGCTGAGAAGAAGGCGAAGTGCTCCTGAGAGATCTCCACCAGGGCGTGAGCAAGGGGAAGCCGCGTCTGGAGCTCCTCATCAAAAAAGAACTCACAATCGCACTCCTCGAAAATCTCCAGCTGATCCGCATAGCTGTCCCGAAGAAAGCCAACCCATAGTTTCAAATAAAAATCGCCCTCAGCGACACTTCGGTCGTCTGCCGACGCTGCTTGAACCTCGATCAACGTAGGTCTCGTCAATGATGAAGGTGGTAGGATGCGCCTGTTGACAGCTTTGTGCCAAACCGCAAACGGAACAGCCACCAAAACTTTTCCTTCCAAATAGCAAATCTGAATTACCTGCAAACTCGTAGTGCCACCCTCCTCTGGATCGAGAACCCAGAGGCATACGGGGTAATCGCTCAAAACTGAGCCCCCAGCAAATACCAGAGGCGGTCTATCCGAGAGCCAAGGAGGCTGTCGGAAGACACTCATTGCTCGATCACCTGGGGCCACTCAAGGCCAGCAGTGTAAACCACACGCCGCGCCTCGCGTTCTGAAGGCAATCCCACGAAGATGCTATCCCCACACTCGCCCCCTCCAGGACGTTTCACCAATGCCTTGCAGCTCGTCCAACTCTTGACGACCTTCACCGGGGTATAGATCTGACCCTGGTAGTCCCTGACGATCAGCCAAAGACGACTGGGAAGAGGGATCTGATCTCGATGGCTGGTCCCTCGATGAAGACCCTGAAGCGAATTGGAAATGAACTCGCCAATCCTGTCACAGATATTCTCCCGCTCACTGAGCCTGAAGCCGCAGGTGCCGAATCCACCACGGAGTAGTCCCTTTCAGGGTCAGGAGACTGCTGCCCACCACGAGTTGTGGAAGAGGGAGTAGGAGATCCGTAGCCCGTGCGGCTACCAGCGTGCGACTCAAGTCTCGGTCAGCAGATGCTCTGGAGTCCGCTCGGTATTCGCGGCGGAGTTCACGTACCTCACGCCTCAGTTGAGCCAGCTCGGCTCGCAAATCGCCAATCTCTTCTCGCAAGTCCGCGACCTCAAGTTGGAGAGAAGCGGACGGTCTGCTCATCAACAAAGTTTGTAGAGGGGCTTTCTGCAACCTCGAGGGGCAGAAACCAGTCGATCCACTGGCCGCTCAAGCCAGGAAACCACAGCCCACCGGAGCGTCACCCAGGCCTCGATGAAGAGGAAAAGTGCGATCCCGCACAGGAGCCCCAAGACAAAGGAGGGGCAGTCAAACCTCCAATGGCCAAGAGGGTGAACGATCGGCGAAAGGTAATCCGCCTTCTCTGCCCAATTGAGCAGCTTAAAAGCGAGAGCTAAGCTGCCACCAGTACTAAGACCGCTGGTGACAGCTCGCATGAGCCGAGATTTCTGCACCATGGTCTCTTGAACATGCCAGGTCATATATATATATATAAGTATATATACATCTATGATCATATATGTATGCCTCCCGTGTGTGTAACATTGCCTACCTCTATATGTCTATTATATATAAATATCCACGCATGGATAGATGCCTGGGTGATGTCGTGTCTATCTATTTGCAATAGCTATAGCACTCAAGGCTGCGCCTCCAAGGATACTTGAGAGTTCAAAGGTTTGCAATGAAGAAGCGGCCGCGAAGCAAGTCCGCAACCCACTTCCTCAGTTGTGGATTTGGCGTGGCCTGCAGAGTTGGGGGAAAATTCAGACCTTCCAGACCTTCCCCCAAACCGCAGTCGATCGTTGGAACATGTTGGAACGTTGCGGTACCAAAAGATGATCTGGTGATGAAAGGTCCTTTCAGCGAACCAAGAAAACGTACCAAGGCTGGAGGGTCCTTTTTTTGAAAGCACCATGGAATAAGGACATAGCCTAGTATGTGACCCTGTGGAACATGCAAAATCGCCTGATTCTACAAGTTTCTTGTACCGTTCCCTTTAGATTTTCACATATTTAGCTTTATCCTTGGCTCGTCCTGGGGTAATGCAAGATGGAGTATCCAAGTCAAAACTCATAGGAGTTGCTGATCCATGGCAATTGACCTTAAGTATCCATGCCTCAGGGTTCCAAGGCGGGTCCCAAAATGCCAAAAACAGCCAGCCATCTGAGTGGTCAAAATTTGGGGCCCCCAGTCATTGAACATACGTATTGAACCCGTTTGGCGCGCCAAAAAACAGATGAAAAAAGGCCTAGGCCACCTGGTAGCGTGCCAGCCTTCCATTTTGTGTGGTTTACTTCACCTGGTGGTCTTTGTACACCCAGAGCGCCAGAATAGCATGCGTCGAAACCTATGATATCATATGTGAGATCGATTCACCAGCTATCTTGTTGCGTGCCAGCATTTTGACTCATTCCCTACAAGAAATCAGGGGATGTTCACCCTCCAGTTTTGTGAGCACGAGAAGGTTCAAAGCCTCAACGCCAAGCAACAAATGTAGTGGGACAAATCCTGTCACACCTGTCCATCAGTCGCCAAGTGACCCCGACCATGGGCAGCTCATTGGTGTATGGACATTGGACAAGATCATTCGCAAATGTTGGAGTACCCCTTTGGTCATGTGGCAAACTTGATAAACCATCCCCAATCTTACCAGAAAGGGGTGGTATAAACAATTCCCAGAAGGAGCTTTCACACCACTGATTGGGAGGCAACCCATACTATCTGAAGTTGATTGCTACTACACAACCTGCTCTGGATCACAATTGCGTGATCCCGTCCGACGCGTCGAATCAAAATCTCGACTATTCTTCCAAGACCCCTGGTCTATTTGCACAAGAAATGTTTCTCACATACTCAGCCTTGAAAGACCCGGCTGCATTCCAGCAAACCCAACTTTAGCTTTGTAGTATGTGTCAATTCAGTGACCTGTGGTCTTTGGTGAAAGGGTTGTATCTTAAGTGTCAACCCTGGTCGCTGGCATGGACCATCTGCTGACCCTTCTTGAGCTGTTCAGCGACTAAGTGTTTCGACTTTTTCCGGTGTTCTCCGCTGCAAAAACTTGAGGAGGCTAACCACTGACTCACCGGCAGTTTTGGTTTGTTGGTGGAAACTCTTAACCAGTGGAATCGTTCGCCCATTTGATGGTTTGTGTCTTCAACGTATGTGCATGTGTTTGTGTGTGAGCGTGCGCATTTCATCCTCGGGACCAAATGGTCTGCAAACCCTTTTTTCGAGGCGCCAAGAATAAAGGGAATAAAGATACTTTGACCGCTTTCCAGCACAAACATTTGTTCTGATCGTCAGAACGGATCGTTGCAAGCCAACAGTCCAAAAGCAAACTGCAAAAGAAAACCCAACGACTATATACAAAAAAAACGGAGTGAAATCGAATGTGTATATGTTCTTTGTAGCAAAAGGCTTGCTGAAAGCTCAGACGAGTAACCGATGCCACATGCGAGCAACACTCACAGCAGTAGCAGTAGCAGTGCCAGCAGTAGTTCCAGTAGGACATCGAAGCCCACCTGTCCATCAAGTTCATTGCTGCATGCTGCACCATGTTCGACCCAGATCTACCCATGATGGTTGCACCCTTGGCATCTCCGGAGGAATCACCGGTACACCTGGGTGAAAATCCCTGGGGACAAAAATTTCTAAGGCCAGCACACGATGCGCCTTGACCTCAGTGCCCAGGTATGATTGTTGTCTTAGATTCTTAGATTCGTCCATTTTGCTTCACAGCCTGTCTCTAAGCTGCTTGGACAAATTGAATCGACTGAGAATAAACTGTAATGTCAGCCCGGCAGCAATGTATGAACCCTCGGTGAACCTGCCACCGCAACCACCCAGGGGCTGCAGTTGTCAGCTCGTGTCGCTGATGCACTGGAACTTTCAGTGGTAGCAATGGATGGTTCCCACCAACTATTCTTAATTGGATACTATTATGTTGTCACATCAATATATATATATATGTATATGTATATATATATGTATATATGTACATATGTATATTTGTACATATGTATATATGTACATATGTATATATATATATGTATATTTATATGTATATATATATATATGTATATTTAAATGTATATATATATATATGTATATATGTACATATATATATATATGTCTATATGTATATATGCATAAATGTACATATATATATATATATGTATATATGTATATATGCATATATGTATATATGTATATATGTATATGTGTATATATGTAAATATGTAAATATATGTATAAATGTATATATGTATATATGTATATATGTATATAGATATATATATATATGTATATATGTATGTATATATATGTAAATATATATATGTATGTATATGTATATGTATATATATATATGTATATATGTATATATGTATATATGTACATATGTATATATGTATATATGTATATATGTATATATGCAAATATGTATATATGTATATATGTATATATGCAAATATGTATATATGTATATGTGTATATATATGCATATATATGCATATGTATGTATATATGTATAGATATGCATATATATGCAAATATGTATGTATGTATGTATGTATGTACGTATGTATGTATGTATGTATGTATGTATGTATGTATGTATGTATGTATGTATACACGTATATATGTATATGTTTATACGTATGTATATATAAGTATGTATATATGTATATGTATATATATATATGCAAATATATTGCGAATCGGGGATTGCCTGTCCGATTATGTCCTGGTAGTTAGTGTTGAAGTGATTGCTCCAATGATGACGTTACGCGGGCAGCAGCTTCCGCATAGCTGTTCTTTACTCTGTCGCTGCAGTGGGTCTTGAGCCAAAGAGGCCAGTTTGGAAATGCCCCTTTGGTACTGGATTCTAGAGTGTCGAATTATGTGATAATATACAAGGGTCCGTAGCCTACACTCTATTCGCACCCCCCACGCATAGCCAACTTTGTTGGCTACGCGCAAAGGAGTGTCCTTTAATTGATCCACTATACTCGCAGCTGTTTATTTATTGAATTATGGAGAGCTAAAGTTCGTTCAGAACTTCATATCTACATGGCGGCTTGCTACGATCTCTACCAAAAGATAAAGGTTCTGTTCACGTGCATGTAGACACGACGTAGTCGGTGTCTAGCATTGAGGTTCATCCGATGTGGCGTAGCCAGCATGGAGTCTCACTCAAGCATGTGAATTAAAGAAATCAAAACATAAAGTTGGCTATGGAATTAGAAGTTTACCTTCCCGTTCCTTCGTCGGCTGAGATGTAGACCGCTGTAGAAACTCAGCGTCTCGTGCAATGATGTTCAAAAAAATGTGTGGTTCTAAATTAGCCGGCTCAGAGTCCTCTCAGAAATCATTCGAAATGAAGTAGAGGTAAATCTCGAGCAATGATTGCATCCTCACATCGCCAGGTTCAATCAGGACCTATGCAGAGGTCGTATCGATTAATCATCTATATCCCCATCCATAGTATCCCTGTTGGTTCCAGTCTCCGCCACGGTGTGAATAAGATTTTCCACCTTTTCCTTGGTCTTTTCCACCCTTCTTTGGCGGGGTCACTGGAGCTTGTTTTGGCGGAGGTGCGGTTTCAACTGTTCTCCATGTTGCTGACGATGATGCTTTCGCTTTTGACACTCTTCCCAATGCTGGTGCTGCTTTTGGAGCTGCTTTCGACTTGCCAGCGGCTGGGTTAGTACGTTCACGATAAGCAGGAGTTGGGGTATCAGCAATCGCAAGTATATGGGCGTCGGTCATGTGGATGCCCCACCTTGGTCGTTGATCTTCCCGTTGCTTGATGTGATTGTAGTCATCGATTGCATCATATAGCTTCTGGAGTAGAGGTCGTGGCAATTGTCGGCCATTTTGAAGGATCAGGTGTAAAAGTGATATTCTTCGAAGTGGGGGACGAAGAGCACACACAATGTCAACTGGGTTCAGTGTGATTGTGTCTTGAAAGTCGACGTTCCTGAAGAAATAAACAGCATTCACCCTATATGCACCTGCAATGATTCTTCTGACCATGACGTCTTGTCGGTCGAGGGCTTCGCGGGCAGCTGTGGTCTTTCTCATCTCATCCATTGTTGTGTCACGTTTCGACAGCTTCTCCATCTCTTCATCAAAGAAGATATTCTGCAAGTCATCATACGTGTAGCCACATTCAAGGGTATACGGTATATATGAGAAGTCTTTTGAGTACCACTGCCCCATAGTATGCATTGACGAATCCCTCTTCCCCGATGTCGTCCTTTTGATTTGGTCGGCCGATCTCTTTGTAGAGCTCTTTCATCTGTTGTGCAGTTGGTTCAATGAGTTCACCATTTTCATCCTCGCCTAGGTAAGGCGTTCTTGAGTCCAGGTCCATCCTGAATTTCTGGTTCTGTTGAAAATGTTTCCATGCCGTCTCGATATCTCCACAGAAGTTCCGTTGGAATAGTCTGTA